ATATTGTGGCAATAAAAATATCTGTATGTCAATGAATGATGAGCTAGTTAGGATCATTTAGTTTTTGTCAATATACATTTTGTTTACATGTTCATGTTTTTGTCTATGTTCTTTGATGCAATAAAAGTAGATAGAACATAGTCATCCATCGTAACATTAAAAGAAAAGAAAATGTTGATATAGTACGTTGATGTACAAATTCAGAACGAAACTTTTCTTACTGAAATGACTTCGTTTTGCATTTATTTTGGCATGTACACGATTCTACATTTGATTATTAAAATACCAATGGAGTACAATCTTTCTCCGCCCCGTCTTTCTCTTTTTTTTACGTCTTCTGATTCTGAAAAGATATCTGAGGGTTCCAGCGATCGACAGTATACCGTCGGCCCAAGAGAATAACCCCCACCCCCGAGACTGATAATTGGTCTCGATCGCCTACTGCACAACTTCCCTAGAATGCTAACTAAATGAACACTGTCAATCTTGTGGACTGTTAGTCTGCCTTTTAATATTTATAGTTGAATTATGCACATGCTTTAGTTTAGACATCAAACATGTATGTCTGCCCTATTTGTCAGTATACTGAGCTTTAAAATATATGTAGTTTTTTCTTTTACCCATTTCCTTAACCATTTCTGCATTGTTAACATTTAAAAATAATATCAATTGTCATCATTAATTCAGCATCTGGTATTCACGACATAAAAGGTCCATAATGAACGTCTCACTCAGCGGCGGATCTATAGGGGTGGCAGAGGGGGCACGTGCCCCGGGCGGCACTTGAAGGCACGCAAGGACAGAAGAACAACAAACAAAAAGAGAAAAGGGAGGAAAGGAAGAATAAAAACCATGATCATATTTTAATGAATAAATTATGGTTTGAGAGAGAAATCAAATGTAAACTATATGTACTTATCCCATATAATGATGTTCAAAATATGAATGTTTACGGTTCGATTACAGCCGAGGATTTAAAATTTTAAATGTTCCAATATTTGGGCAGCCAGCGAGGTGGCCAAATTGAATTTATTTTTATGTCAAAGTAACATTTTTACCAATAATAAATATTGTTATTATGTATATGCTCGTTAAATGTATAAACAGGATGATTGATACTCCAGACCTCAGCCCTCCCCCATGAAAATATGACCAACAAATTATGCCTATGATTTCATCGCTCCCATTTTATATGGGTGAATCCATAAGAAATTCAATGGGTTAAAAGTGCAAAAGATGTACCGCAATTTTATTGTTTTCCCCGGGTGTCATACCTAGGTATGTCACGTCCCCACTGGTGATACTGTAAATGACTTTAAGATAATTACCTCATTAAAAGCACATTTCCATTAAAAAAAAAAAAACTTTTCAAACAATAACAAACGCGTTTCTTAAATTTATATAACGATCCTTTTTAAAGTTAGCCATTCTTGAATTGCATTTTGCACAAATTATGAGACTTTAAATCAATCAATCAATCAATCAATCAATCACCTTTTCAATGAATCTCATTTACAGCAAACCAATACAGTTCGAAAGAAAATAAGAAAAATCACTACAGAGTGTATTACAATAAAGTATTTTCACATTTATTTTTTGCAGAAATACAATATTGTCTTAATAGTTCTTCGCACTTACAGACCAGGTGCAAAGTGAATACAATTCATTGTCTTAAGCCAATTGGAAACTGATCCCCACACAAAGTCAATCAGAAAGATAAACAAATGTAAACTTCTATAATCAGCACCTACAAAATAATGAAAGCATGTCCAGAACAGAAATGAATATGAGAAAGAGGTCTAATCAAATCAATAAACCATAATTCAAGTAATATACATAGAAAAATCAAACTCATACAAATGAATGTTATAACTACATAATATTTTTCTGTACAATGAAACTGTTCGATAAACTGCATTGTTAGTCATTTCTGCATAAGTTATGTAAACTGTGAAATATGTCTCCTTTATTTGTGAAGTTGAAATAGTGAGTATAATTTATTTATCAAGGTTACTTTGGTTGGTATATGGTGGGATATTCAAGGAGATTGGGGGAGGTTCAATACCTAATGATTGTCAATGATTACATATCCGTTTTATATATCACCATGAAATTCAGAATAAATTTTTAATGACAGTTACAGGGGTAAAAAGCAAGAGAATACATTTAAAGAAACAGAACTAAAGAAAAAAAGTGGAAAATATGAAGTAAAAAAGAAGTTTAAGTCAGGGAGTATACACACACACACATACAGAAGGTTAAACGGGAGAAATAGATCAATAGGTTTATTCCCAATGTAAGGTTAGGGAAATAATTTCATAGAAATGATATCATCTTAATACAACTATTTTACTTTTTCATCTGCGCAACTTAGACCCTTCTGTCATCAAGATGTTGTGTTTTTAACACAGTCAGACTTCAACTTCATATTTGTACCCTTTCATTTTAGAGAAAAAACGCTGAATATTATTTGAATATAAGAAAAATAGTTCAATCTATTTTTCTATAGCATCATTGCACTAAAAATCCTCTACACAGTCTTCAAATTGGTTTCCATTACCATGGTTTAATTGCAATCATCCATCAAATTATAATATTGGTCAATATCTGAGTATAAAGAGCTATATAATGAGCTTGACTTTGAAAGGAGTGTTTTGCGCAGGGTGGAATTTGCAAAGTATTCTTGCCTAGCAAAGGACTACGGAAGCACATTTCAAAAAGGATTTCAGGGCATTTCCAGCGAGAATATCCTATTTAAAAAAGTAAATAAATGCATAATATTCACAAGCAAAAATATGCTATAAAAATGTATAGCTGTATCAACACAGTGGCAAGCATATTACTACAAGGTGCGTTGATAAAAAAACGATTATGTACAATGAAACAAATGAAAACATTAGGTATGTAAAATGAACTTAATACATAGATTAAAATGAAAATGACATGAACTTATGCAAACTGATTTTAAGTAGCTGGATTGCTACGATGAGACAAAAATACAAGGCATATGCAGTGCGGTAAAATGTAACAATGTTTTAGAACAATTTTGAAAGTTTTATTGTGTGTGCACAGTATCTGTCCTAATGGTTAAAGTCCATTTCTAACTTGAAGCTTTTTTTTGCTTGATAAATGAGGAGACAAGAATATGCATACATTATATTCAAAATTTTTGTTGTTGTTGAAAGAGTACATATTATGATTCACTGAAATGACTGCATGGATTGGCTGCATGTGGAAAGCCTAACAAAAAAAACCCCAAAAAATAGAAATTAAAATAGCATGGGCAGGTTAGTGTTGCAGCAGTTGAATATATGAATGATTATTCAGACTTTTCAATTCTACAAAAAAAAATTGTTTATATCTCAATTTTGTTTTATTGAGTTGAAACTCTATCTAAATGCTTTTCCATTGATTGGACACTTCATCAAAGCACAAGACAAACTAAGACCCCCCCCCCCCCCAACAACAACAACAACCACCCTCCATATCCACTTGCACTTGTTATTTTATCCTTCACACACACCCACATTTGTATAAGAATGGCATCCAATTAAAACATTATTGATGTTGCAACTTTTACCAAATAGAAATACAGAAACATGCATGATGGAATGACAGTGATGTGCATCATAAAACACAACCAAATATAACAACTCACATACATTTAACACAAAGATTATGGTTCCTTAACTATCACTGAACCATTTTTAAAATTCAGTTCTCACTTTTTCACTAAGACACTAAGGCCAACACTACACCTACATGTACTATCATATCTTCTATTTCAGATCTATGCCCTGCACTTTGGTTTATAGTACAAATCATTTCCTCTTTCCACACAGGTTTCCTGCTATTTATCACTTTTCAACAAAGTTTCTTTCGTTTTTCTAAATTATTTTGGGGATTAACATTAGAATCTTATCAGGAGAGCATGAACAGGTAAAATCATTACATATTTATATCAATTAAAAAGTTATCACATTATTGTTTCCTGGTATTTTCTACACATACAGTGTTACAGATGTTAACAAGGATTGCTTTTACATCTTCTCTCTTTTGTTAGAAAGTTCATTCATTTTCTGTAGCTATCCTATACTGACAATATTGAAAACAAGACTTTATGAACAAGTTAGAGTATGGAGCACTTTACTTGCTCTCAAGAAGGTCTTCTTATCACAAAATTAATAGAAAAGATGGACATGAACTTGAAAAAAGGATGCCCCAGATCCACAATGATGTTTTACATTGCTGTTCTTTTTGTTCAAAGTTTGTGTCTACATCATTGTTGTAATAATGATTATTTTAATAGCCTGTTTTGTCTGGAAAAGATAGAATGAAACATGCATGGAAACATGTAACTGTCCAAAATCAAACCTCTGGATTAATATTTGGTCTTGCATCTTGGACTCGCACTTCTCCCTTGATTAAGGAACTCCAAACAATGCATTTAACAAAAAGAGTTATATGGCATCTGAATATCTTAATGTCGCCCTCCAAATATAAACACCGTTCATAACCCTCACTCAACAACAGACAAACAAAAATTGATTATCCTTAAGTCCAGACTCTCACCTACTAAAAAACTGCTTCAAAAATATGGAACAATATCCAACTTTCCATCACTATCCTGTTTTGCCACTTTCAAGAGATCCCTTCAAACATACTTCTTCCCTTTTCAACATAAATATGATTTATTGAATTTTATGAATTTTGCGTTTCATGTTCCCCTTCATATTTTGTGATTTTGTAATTAAGCAACGTGGTACTTTTTGTTGTTTATTGCTCCTAAATGATCAACAATAGCATTACTATTATCATTATAAGACAGAACTGTTTTAAAATCAAGCAAATGTAGTACTGCTTTCAAAATGGCATGACTTGACAAAGCATAAACAATGAAAAGAAGAAAAGCATTTAGAAAAACTAATATTTTAAACTCACAAAAAAACAAAAACAATAAAATCTTGTTAAAAAGTATGAAAATAGATGAAAAACAGTGGTGGATTGTGTAAAGCATTTTATGAGTACATTTAATGGAATAGTACAAATATTACAAATCACAATACAATAAAATCATGATAATAGCATGTGGAGGTGTCGTTGTCTAGTGGTTATATCACAGGACTGTGGATCATATGGTTCACTATTTGAGTCCAGCGAAGTACGTATGTCCTTTGGCAGGACAATAATCTACATCTGCCACACTCGACCCAGGCGAGGTACATGTGGCTTAATTCCTTAAAATGCTAGACCGCCATAATGGCAGCCATGCTAAAGCCGGTGTAGTAATTGTGGAGCTCAAAGAATGTCAAGTCCGACACACATGAATGCTATTAATACATGAACCCACTCTTATTACAGACAGTGTATTATTATTATTATTATTATTATAAAGCACCTACTATAAAAAGGGCAGTATTAAATATATGTACCTGCTTGAATACTCTATACATACTACATATCCAATACCATGAAAATTTATTTTGATCTACTACTTAAAGTACATTGAACTAAGAATAAGATTCAGATTTAATTTGAAATATGGTTTAATGCTTGGGTGTTTACTTGAAAGCCTAACTGCCCTTTACTTGAAAGTAAACATCTTAAATTGTGAACGTGAGTTAAAGTGCACATATAACTTTTCTATACAAACATGTGCTCAGAAAATTGCTACCCTTGCTCAAGCTCATGCAAATGTTATCAGAGCATGGTGTGTTCGGATGAAGACTGCACCTGGATTGAGAGAAACAAGTATAGAAGAAATGCCCAATACTATGGAGTCAATTAGACGAAACCCACTACCACTGTACTCATATCAAGTATTTATTATTTGAATGTCTCATACACTGTCCAGAATATTATACTTCCTACTATACAAAGTTACAAGTTTACACTATACATGTACAAAACTAATTTCCAGAACCTATGTGTATGTACAGCTTTCCTTAATACAGGCATGCTTGATTCAGGTATAGAGTACTTTTGAAGTACTTGATTTTTCAATAGGGCTAGACCTAGTAGTACAAACTTTGAACATGAAAAATGTCACATCAGTGCTGTAGTAAGTGACTCGAACTGGTATCAATTTTGCCCAGTCAAACCAAAATACAGTCTAAAACAAATATCCTCTCACACTTAATTAACAGAATTCTGGTCTTTCAAAGTCTGAAATAGCTGAGCATTTTTTAGTTGATCATCCTGCAAAATGAAGTGATTTCAAGGCTGGAAATAGTATTTCTACGCCAAGCATAGTCAGAATTCAGCTCAAGTTCATCCATCTAAGTTGCATTCTCCTAGCTAATGAAACTATTTAGATTAGGTATGTGTCTTACTCAGTGGGGGTATATCTTACATTTCAATTTTGGTGAGTACTGACGGTCGGGCAAAGAGCTTTAATAATCTAAGGGCATATACTAAAGATTAAAATGGGAGAAAACATAATTTTCCCACAAAGAAATTCAAATTCTACGCATTACTAAACAATGTTTAGTCCACTATGGATATAGAAACATATTGACAATATTCTGTGTTTCTGGTCAAATTCTACAACACGATACTAGGCTTTTCCCTCCAATGGGAAACGTATTGGAAAAATAAAATAAAGCAAGTATAGAAAAACATGTTCTGTTTATTTGAAAATATACAGAGCAATGCACATCTGCACACACATAACACTTTTAATATTTCTTGATTTGGAGCATTTTAGGTGGCTGCCGTAAGATTGAAGCAATAAAAATGTTTTTAAGATGGTAAATTACTAAGAAAAAGAAAAAAAAAGATGAAGACTGGGCACAAGGTACTTTCATTAAGAATACAAAAATTTACAAAATCTGAAAGTACAACAATACAAAAATAACAACTTTCCCCCAAATAATTGCACCTTTCAAACCAAACTCTGTCATAGAACTCTGCAAACTCATTGATTTACTAAGAAAAAGAAGTACAGACAAGGTTTTGATTGCAGCACAGTCATCATTAAATGCACAAACATTGGGCATTGCTTCTAAAGGAGAGTAAGTTTGTTTGAGAATGATTGTTTACTGTTTTGCATCTGTGTCAAAGATCTTGTTCCTTCCTTCGCTCTCCATCTCCTCTCTCTCTCTCTCTTTCTCAAACAAACCACACACACACACACACACACACACACCACCACACACATACCCACACAACACTCTGCCTGTCTTAATCCCTATTTTTAAAATTTCTTTCTCCAATCTATCTCTCTCCAATTATCTATCTTCTTGAAAACCAGTGAAAAACATACTCCTGACATAACAGAAAGTCATATTTTTCTTTACGCAATAACTGTAGAGATATCTTACTGTAAAACAATTCTTTATTACAAAAACTACGTACAAATCATCTGAAAACATGATTCTGAACAGTCAAAAGAGACCTTTTTATGACTAGACATGAATATCTTTTTTTCTTCATATTTCATATTAAGTTATTCAATTTCTATAAACTTTGATATGGTAGGAACTTAAATCCTATGCCAACTTCTAGAACTCCCATAACACCAGAAGTGCTCCTAAGATTTTTAAAACTAATTTCATGCAGAAGGAATGTAAAGGATTAATTTCCAAGCCTGAGACCTAAAAATTGAGTCTCCTGCTCTAAACATAGACATAATTTTCTCCTCCACTATAACGTGAATGAACCATACACACTTATACGCAAACAGATACATGCGCATAATAATCTACAGATTGTTTCATACGCATCAAACATTATAGGATAATAGGCTGCTGACACAAACAAAAGTTCACAGTAGAGAGAAAAAATTACTCAGAGAAGAAAACCAAACAAGACATCTGATTAGTTGAATGATCGTAAGATGTCCCCTCTCAGCCAATCACATCAGATCATCTAGAGGATCTCGGCCGCCACCGAAGTAGTCCAGGCCCTTGGTTGGTCGTTTCCTGTAGTCCCCATAGTCGTTGAGGATGTCTTCATCGCTTGATATGTCGCCGTATCGGTACTCGTCCTTGTACTCATCAAAGAGATCTTCATGTCCTGTGGATCATTAAGAAACAGAAAAGATAATATCAGGTACCACATGTATAAAAAGACCACTCATACTAAAAGATCTCCTGCCTATTTATTCTTTTCCTTGGTCTGTATTTCACATTAACTCGTATCCTGCCATAAGGCTGCATGCACGCTTCCGTTATAGTGCTTTGTACACGCGAGCGCGCTATCGATTGGCTGCTTAATTCACGCGAGCGAGCTACCGCTTCGCTACTTCATGCAGGCTTGCTCGCATTCGTAATAGCAGTTATTGTTCATGCTCATTGTACTGTCCTGAGTGCTTTGCATGTGCTATTGATCGTACCATCGTGTGCGTCAGATTATCTCAAAATAAACTTGGCACATGGGGGATTTGTGGCTTGGCACAATGGGGATTAGCCTTGTGGCTCTGGGCTGTATTCATTATGTTAGGATAAGAGTTATTACACAAGTTCTAAAAGAACGGATTAATACCTACTATTGCCTTTCAAGACTGCCTGTCTTGTCTCCCTTGAGTGTTATTTTTTTTTATTTCATTCTATATTTCAGAAGGATCATCAAGTAAAACAGCATAAAGGCATATTAGAAACTGTCTATTTACTGACAAAGCTTAAATGTTACTTAACAGAAGAACAGTGATTTCAAATAAAAAGCATGTAGAATCCAAGTTTCTATTGGTTTCTTAGAATAAACTCTTCTTAAAAAGTTCACTGGGGGGGGGGGGGGAGCAGCAAAATTACAGGATTAGAGTAGTGCCAATTTAGTTTGACACACAGCTACTTTATGAGTAGATTCCTGTGGGAGCCCTGTCATTTTTTTTAAACCCTTGTAATCTTCCTGAACCATTCAAGTGTCTTTATACAAACAGTACATTTAGTTATTTGGGTGTGATTGCCTTAGAGGCAGATCCAGGATTCAATAAAAAGAGGGGGTGGGGGGGGGGGGGGGGGTGTTTGGGAAGGGCGAGATAAAAAAATCCCTGACTAAGCAAATTGGGTAAAAAATTAAGAAAGGGGACACATTTTCTATCATGTCAACATTGTCCTAGCATAGCCGGGTAATGTTGGAGCGCCTTGAGGACCTTGCAAGGTCGATACTGCGCTACATAAGAATCCAATATTATTTTTTATTATTACTAAATGCTCTATTTGAATTTAAATGAGGGGAGGGTCACAAGTCAGTTGTGCCTCTCTAAATCTGCCAATGATTTTGTGATGTCTTCTAATGATCTTTTGTTTAATCATCCTCTTTCAAGAAATTGTCCAATGATGCCTCACGTTTATCTGGATCCTCATCTGGGTAGTCATTCCTCCAATTATTCTCATCGTTGCTATCATCCTCATCATCGTACTTCTCGTGGGAACCCTCATCAAAGAAATCATGCACTAGCTCCTCATCCTCCAACTGCACAGAAAGAACAACAAACCACATGCATTTCAAACAGATGAATTTAAGACTCTTAATGCTCTAAAATTATGATAATTTAAAAAAAATACAAATGAGGAAAATATGCATATATATATATATATATATATTTTTGCTTCTGGTAGGGATGTTTTAGTGAGGTTTATGCAATTTGTACATTTCCCATTCTAATGATTTTTTCCCTTTCAACAGTTATTTGAATGACTGTCTAAAGTCTGTAACACATGTAATCTTAAACGTATTCCTATGAGTAAATTCAACATCATGTATGCATGTATGAGTGGTGGGTTCGGGTGTTCAGCATGTGCAGTCATATTACTAAATGGACACACGCAATAAAGCTCAATTTATTGTGCTTTATCACTTAAGAGTAAGATTTGGGTTTGATGCTGACTGTCATAATACGGGCATCTATTCAGGTTACCCTCTGATATATTACCTTTTCAGGTAAAGCTTTAATAGTTAATGCTGCAGTTTCAATAGCAGTAAGTACACTAAAAAGGGGTGGAATTTATGCCAGTAAGAAGTGCAATTTTAAATCTGAATTTGCTCTTTGCTGTCCTATTTGTGATGCTTTGAAAAACATGGGTACTACACTCCAATATGCTATTGACTCCTCCCCAGACAGAGTATAAACGTACCTGCACACCAGTAACAACAGTCTGGCCGAAGTCAAGCTGGTTGTCGTCTGTGTAGTAGAGATCGTACACGTACTCACTGTCGGGACCGTCATCGATAACTAGCTTCTCTCGGATCATCTTAACCGAGTTACACGTGATGTCGTCTGATTTGGAGGTCTTACTTGATGATTTAGCCTGTAAGAGGGAGGAATGAACACTTTAAATACAGTTCTCTTTATATCTACTGCTTCAGGTTAACCTCCAAAGTCTTTTTTAATAGGGCATATTTTTCAGGTAAACTTTCAATATGTTAATTAGTTTCAATAATCCTTCAATATTTACACTCAAACAATAAATCTAACAGCAACAGGAAGTATGCATGAGAAAAAAACAGGCAAAGAAAAAGAAAGTGAGCAGACAAACAGATGGAAGCACAGCTAAAGCCGAGGTAATAATCTTCAAGTTTGGAGCGCTTAGTGATTGTATTAAGCGCTATATAAAAACTGAGTATTATTATTAAAGAAGAAGAAAGTGGGAGAGGAGTAGCAGACCATACTGGTCAAAACAAAGAAATGAGTGAAAGGAAATTTCATAGCCATGATCTCATCTTTCACACATATTTGTATCTGTGAGTACATGCAATTAAAATTAAAAAACACACACGAGGACAAAGGTCATTTAAACATTTAACAATCAATCTTTTTCTGTTCGATACATCACACATTATGTGCATCATAGTTCATATCAAAAAAAGAAAAATACTGATACCTCTTCATCTATGACAGCATCAAATAGACTGAAAAGTTCATCCTTGGTTGCTCCTTTGTTCCGACCCACACCATTACTAACACTAGAGGGCGCACTTTGCCCATCAAGTCCTTTCAGATTCACCCCTCTGTATGTGGACACAATCTGGAATCTTCCCTCTTGCTGAGCAGCAAGCTGGGATGCTCGACTCTTGCTCTTAGTGTCCGATTTCGACTTTGATTTTGATTTGCTCTTCTTAGACTTCTTGGATGAGGCCGATGATGATGACGATGATGATGTGGTGGTTGATGTCGATGTGGGTTTGGGCTTGGCTTGTGGTTTGGGGGGTTCTAGGTTGGCATAGAGGTGGAGAGTAGTGAGCGCTGCCTGTATCCTTTGTGAAATGGGTTGGTTCTGCAAGTAGAAATAAAAACGCATTAATGATTGGGAATGAAACAAGCTCTGTGATTGTCTCTTATTTATTTAATGATACAGAAAAAATACATGAAAAAAGGGACAATTAAAAACAAATAAGGAAGGGAGTCTGTTACATCAATTTTCTATAACATGTCACATTAATGGTAGATGAGCAAAACTGATTTTCAAATGAGCAAGAAGGAAAATGTTTTGTATAAAAATCAGTTTTCTTATGAATTTCTGACAAAGACAGTCAGAAACAAAGAGATTTAGAGAGAGAGAGATTTAAGGGGGGGGGGGGGGACGGAATGAAATTTTATTTTCCACTCTTTTGATATTAGAACGTGAACATCTGTATAAAATCCTTTTGAATTCACGCCTTACAAACAAAGAAATCAATGTTCAAATTGATTTTACTATAACATGAAATATTGCATTACATACATGTGTAAATCTGTTAAATTCATAATGTGATTCCAAGCTTTCCTAATTTACACCGAACTGACAAATATATATTCGGACCCGAGGACAAGATCCTCTTCCCCATGAGCCAATTTAGATGCCCTGAGCATCACCAGAGCATGGATGCACACCACCGCACAGGATTTAGGCTTGTACCTGGATCAGCACCCAAGCATGCAAGATGCTAAATGGATTTCTCACATGTTCCAGTGCAGACGGCCAAGTGGTGACAGCTGGGTGCAGAGAGATTGCCAGCTAGTCTTGTTAAGATGTCAGACTGCATCTTTATTGTATCTATCATCCCATCTTATAATAATAGTATCCTTGTGATTTTCATTACCATATATTCACATTGCTTTTATTATATCATGGTACGACAAAATCATTTTTGCTAAAGTTCCCATCATTATAACTCTCATTAATGGTTAAATAAAGATACTAATTCAGGTGCAAATCTGCATACCCGGTACTATTCAAGAATATAAATAATCACAAATTAGAGGTTAAAATTAAGCAAGAGGTTTTAGGTTGGAGACTAGACATGAGATGCAACATTTATCAGAAACAAATGGATATTCCTAATTTCCTATGAATAATGATTTAATGTCATGATGAATTGCTTCAAATGAAATACAATAAGCACTCTCACTCAGTCCTTTCTATTTCCTTTCTATACTCTCAATCTTCTGTGAAAAAAAATACAACCACACCCACACATGTATCCCTTAGACACATGAAAAACTGGACCCCCTTCCTCATTCTCTCTCATCCTCTATCCATTACTATATCCTTCATTCTCTCTCTCTCTCTCTCTCTTTCTCCTGTACATCTGTCTTTTGCTCTCTCAATCTGTTTCATTTTCTTGATCATGTTCTATGTCTAATAACTCTCTCTTGTATTCTCTCTCTCTCTCTCTCTCTCTCTTACCTATCTATCCCTCTCTTTCCACTTCCCCCTCTTGCTTCCCACCCCTCCCTTAGGTACACTCATACAGATGAATGGTACCATTCTCTATTGTGCTCTCTATCATTCTCTTTTTCTCTCTTCTCTCTCTCTCCCTCCCCATCTACTGCCTCCCCCCTGAGGTACACTCTCTACATGTGAATGACACGGGTGACATTATGTGTGTTTTAGGATCAGACGAACCCTCAAGGGAAAGGCCAGAAACATTCACTTAGATGCACCAGATTCAACAAAGAGCTGTTAGACCATCTACACATGTTATGTTCATTGGGGGAGAGCAGTGTGATTTTCCACAAAAGTACATCGGGTGTTTAGGTGACCCACCCTTTGCTTGGCTAATTAGAAAGGATACTCCAGGTGCCTAGTTATAAAGTGCACATCAAATCAATCAACCAGGTTTTCAGGTAGTAGTAGAAGTAGTGATAAACGGTTTGCATATGCCTGACCTTAAAGGTATATTAACACCTATTGACATCATTTTTATGCCTGAAGTTCTAATTATCAAAGCAGTCAGTAAATTTGATTTTAAGAAAAAATGACAGGCCTATTAGTTGAACCATAAGTAAGAATAGTGTACTTTCAAAGAGAAGTTTTGAGATTTATTAGCCCAATCACTCATTTGGATATCAAGATCAAGAAACTTTTTGTTCATGAAATAACATTAAATCATGTATTCCACGTATTATCTAAGCTTTCACATCACTTGTATTTCAAAAGCAAATGCTAACATCATTTACTTCCCATGCTCTTTTTCAAATATTTCCTTGTAATTTTTCATCTAAAAAAAATACCATTTGATGTCTCCTACTAATATTACTAACTGTCTTTATCTGAACATCAATATATCGTTCAGAATAAGTTAACATACTTTCCTTGATGTATTATTACATCAATAACTTCCATATGAAAAAGCAACTAATTGCCTTGATATGATAACCAAAAAACAACAACACAAGAAAGCCCAAGGCCGAGAGAGAATAATTGATATTGAGGGCTCATTTTTCTGCCATCTCTCCCTTCCCTCTCTCCCCCATCTCACCCTTCCCACTCTCTGTCTCTCTATCTCTCCCACCCCCCTCTCTGTCTCTCTTTCTCTCCCATCCCCCTCTCTGTCTCTCTTTCTCTCCCATCCCCCTCTCTGTCTCTCTTTCTCTCCCATCCCCCTCTCTGTCTCTCTTTCTCTCCCATCCCCCTCTCTGTCTCTCTATCTCTCCCATCCCCCTCTCTGTCTCTCTATCTCTCCCATCCCCCTCTCTGTCTCTCTTTCTCCCCCATCTCTCCCTTCCCACTCTCTGTCTCTCTATCTCTCCCATCCCCCTCTCTGTCTCTCTTTCTCCCCCATCTCTCCCTTCCCACTCTCTGTCTCTCTATCTCTCCCATCCCCCTCTCTGTCTCTCTTTCTCTCCCATCCCCCTCTCTGTCTCTCTTTCTCTCCCATCCCCCTCTCTGTCTCTCTTTCTCCCCATCTCTCCCTTCCCACTCTCTGTCTCTCTATCTCTCCCATCCCCCTCTCTGTCTCTCTTTCTCCCCATCTCTCCCTTCCCACTCTCTGTCTCTCTATCTCTCCCATCCCCCTCTCTGTCTCTCTTTCTCTCCCATCCCCCTCTCTGTCTCTCTTTCTCTCCCACCCCCCTCTCTGTCTCTCTTTCTCTCCCATCCCCCTCTCTGTCTCTCTTTCTCTCCCATCCCCCTCTCTGTCTCTCTTTCTCTCCACCACCCTGGAGAAGATTCATCCATGTTGTCTATTGATCCAAACCTCAAAAGGAATAACATTGTTTCCTGCACAATGCATGATGGGTATTGATTGCTTTTCCTCCCCGTCATTCCACTGACGACGAACCCCCTGTCGGAGATCATCCGCTCCAAGCGTTCGCTGACCGTAACGTACACGGTCAAGGTCGGACAGCCTCTTCTGATGGAATAATTGTCCATCTTCGGGAGTTTTCTTCATCTTTTTAAGTGTTTAATCAGAGAAATTGAATGCTAGCTCAAACATTTATTTATACAAAGGCAAGCAAGAAAGGTTTGATCTTGGTCATGAATGGCAGTCTGCATTTGTAATGCTGGTAAACTAGCGGGAGCAATTCTCCAAATAGCTGAGCCAAAATGAAAAGCATTCAAGGAATTTCTTCCTACAGGTTATCCATTTACTTCACCTGGGTGGAGAGTGGCAAATATAGATATCTTGCCTTGTATTGTATGCTGTAGTACATATGGGTGATTGCTAATTCTAGAATTAAATCAAACATACCCCCAATTACATGCATGTGGCAATTACAATGTAAGTTCTCAATGTGTAATTTACATGTATATCATGCAAGTAATAAACAAGTTGCAAAGATCCTTGTTTACTCCTATTGACAAGAAAACTGTCAAACACATTCCTGATTAAAACTAGTCATGAGGAGAAACAATTTTCAGACACTCCTTGGTATAATCATTTTTCCAGCCATCGTAAATAAGCGGTGGAGAAGCAGTGGCAGAAATAATTAATTAGCCACCGCGAAAGATAAAAGAGCACCGATTGTAATAAGTACTGTAATCGATATGGCAACTTTTAAAGACATAGATGCACATGACTTTTTTTTCTTGTATGACTTTTAAATTTCAGTTTCAAACGCTAAGCAAATTTAACATTTAAGTTGTGTACTTAGTGGATTTGAACATAATTTTTCATTAAAAATGAATTTCTTTACTTGCAGGTGATTCAAGTTTTGCATGATGCAATTGTTCAAATTATCTTTGAATTTTTAGGCAAAACTAAAGGATTATAATTTTCAAATTTTGGTATATTTTTTTTTTTTTAAACATAATCAAGAACAACCAAGCATAAGAATGAACCGCTTTGTTAACTCACATGCTGCATTTTTATAATGAAATATTAATACATTGAAACTTGGCATTTGCTAATAAAACAGGGAATATCTTTCCCGACAGTACATCGGGTATAGAGGAAATGATTTGTACCCTGGATGAAAACAAATATCTTGACCTTTATCATAAAAATAGGTGTTTTTCTTTAAGGGAAAGCCTGTATGAAAAAACCAGATGAGAGATTAATGACAGAAAAAGAAAGAGAAACGCTGGTAGACATATTCACAAGATTCTGGTCCTTTAATCAAAGCCAGCCTGCTCCTACTATTACAGTCATCTCGGGTTTTATGCAGCAACGTGTAAATGTCAACGTGGGGCTAGCTAGCGTGGAGGAGTGTGCACTGGCTGAATAGAAATCGGAGTAGACATAAAGAGAATGAAAGTGGAGCAATGAGATAAGAGACAGAGAGATATAGAGACAAAAAGGAAAAGTGATAAAGAGAAAAAGAGACAAGAGAGAGAGAGAGACAGGGAGAGGGAGAGTGAGGGAGGGGCAGTTAGAAAAGCCAATAGTGAGGTAAAGAGAAAGATATACTGCATACATGAAATGAGAAAACAAGAAAGTAAGGAAACTACACAGAGACAGACTGACAGACAGATATGAAGATAGATAGAGAGAAAGAGAGAGAGAGAGAGAGAGAGAGAGAGAGAGAGAGAGAGAGAGAGAGAGAGAGGTGGGGGAAGGAGCAGATAAACAGAGGCAGAGAAATACAGAAATACATATAATAGAGAGTGTG